TGGAGGTCACCATGTGTTCTAGGGCTGTAGTAACAAACAGCCACCACTTAGGGGATCAAAGGAATACACATTTGCTTACTGTCTAGGAGTTAGGTCTCCAAACTTCACTCGGCTGAAACTAAAGTGTCACCAAGGCCAGACTTCCTGATGTGGTCATGCCGAGGCTGTCTTCTTACTCATGAATTGACCAAAATCCAAACTAGATGGACAATTTCTGACATTAAATGCCACAAAGAATGGACAAACTCAATGACTGGCTTGACTGCATTATCTTCAATCAGCCAATATTTACTGTTACTATTTACAACTTTCTCTTTGTATTTGGCTTCCTGTGTGTCAAAAACAAACACTTGGACTAGATGGTGTTAATTCTAATCTAGCTCCAAAAACAACTTGGTGGAATCAATGGCTTTGCAGCTTATCAAAACCAGGTGCCTTACCTCTCGAGCACACACATCCGTTTATAGATATATCTCCAAAACTGTCCCATAGCCTGTCTGTGCTCAGACCCCAACACTTTTCCCTATTTTTTGGAGTAGTCCCCTCCTCCAGAGGGCAAGCAGAAATTCCAGCAGGCTTCCTGTTGGAGAGGAGGTTGTGGACTACTTACTTCCTATAAGGACACAGAACAGAGCAAATGTGGCCCCCCCCCCCCCCGACAACTTTGCTACAGGAGAAAGAGAAGACTGCTGAATAAGTGGGGAACCTGGAGCATTCTACTTCATATTCACTACAGTCTAGAAATGATACAGTCTATGGGTCTTGATTGGGTTTCTCTGCTAGTTTAAAGGATTAAAAGGCAAGAAAACTTGGAGGTATCAAGTAGCAGCAGGAAACCTCAAGCACCACCAACAGAATCAACAGTTGAAGGAAGGTGTTTATTGGGGGTGAGGGACACACCCAGGCAGCAGACACGGGAAAAAGATCCTCAGCAAAGCAAAGAGGGCACTCAGAAAATGAAGTCTCTTCTTAGGGTACAGGGTTTTAAGGGCTCCCCTCTACTTTTTAGGGTTGGTCAGGCTGAAGAAGACAGAATGGTTAATTGGTCTGAAACATGTGACATGTCCTAAACAGGCCTTGAATTTGTTGAGCCAGTCCATCAATGGGGAGCCTGATGGTAGGAGACAAAGCTCATAGGCTTTTGTCTCAAGAGCAGAGGTTGGGGAAGAAGTTGGCCATCTTGGAAATCCCACACTTTTACTTAGCCATGGCACCTCTGTCTGCCTAACCAAGGAGTCTAACTTCCGGTCTCTCGCCATGAGAGCCCAGGACTGAATGGTTTTGGTCATGAAAGTAAAATAATCATTTAATCCATAAATAAAGATGGCAAGAGTAAAGGTGAATCCACCAAACATGAGTTCAATCCCTGAGACCTACATGAGTGAAGGAAAAAACCAATTCCTATAAGCTGCCCTTTGGCCCTCATATGTTTGCTGTGGTATATGCAAATACACAAATAATGTAATAAAAATCAAGCACATGGCTAGTTAACGTGTGTGATTCATATGCCTTGGTTTCTGCTGCCCTAGAGATCTGACTCTCTGAGACTAACATTCTCCCTCATGTCCTTTAAAATGACTTCTCCATGGTTTTTTTTTGTTTGTTTGTTTTGTTTTTTTTTTTTTTTGGCACCTACTGGTCATTTAAACACTTTTCTTGGAAGTCCTTCTTTTGGAGTTTTAATTTCATTTTATTTTATGCTTTATTTTTGTGGTGTGTTATTAAATTCTTGTAGTGTAATAGTGAATGACTGATTACTGAAGAAATAAAAATAATAATGGGAATTTTGGTTTCAGAACTTAAAAACCGATGCTTAAATGATTAACCAAAAGACACACTTGCCAGAAGACTGCATCAAATGATGTGAGAGCAGTTTAAGTACAGGGAATAAGATGCTTTAGTAGCTCAGGAAAGCTGTTAGTCTTTCTGGTATCATCTGAACTCCACCTGTCTTAAAGCAGAAAAAAAAAAAACGTAACTTTACTTTCACCAAGTTTCCTTTCAGACACATAGAAATAAGGTTGAAGTAGTAGGATCCCTGTCTATAAAGATAAGCAAGGCTGGGTGTGGTGGCTCAGGCCTGTAATACCAGCACTTGGGAAGCTAAGGCAAGACATCCACAATGAATTCATGGTGACCTGGGCCACAATAATAAACAATAATAGTAATAACAGTAGGATATTGTGTGTGTATATACATTTACACTTATTCAACTCTGTCATTTGCCTCCCAACAGCCTCACTCAACTGGATTCATTTCCATTAATGCTTTTTCATGAATAACATGTATCTTTACTCTTCCCTGAATTCTTGGTAATTCTAAACAAGCCTTGTCTTTTCACATTTCACATCGCTGTTCTGGAAGTGGCTAGTAATTTGGAAACAAAACTTTCTCTATAATAACTTACAAATAATGTAATGGCTTTTCCAAACTTAGACTGTATCATAAAAAGAATATGACAGTTACTAGCAAAAACCTTGTAGAGTACAGTCATTAGCACAGCGCCTCTCATCTCCAGGATTAATCATGGACAATTTTGAAAAAAGAAATCCTAACGGTAGTTTGGTGACATAATGAGTAGTATTTATAACATGTTGAGCCATCTCTTCCTGTGGGAGGAATGAAAATCCTTGGGCTCAACAGATAAGCAACAGGGGAACCAAGAATGTTTTGTTTTTCAAGACAAGGTTTCTGTGTAGCTCTGGCTGTCCTAGAACTTGTTTTGTAGTCCAGGCTACCATCAAACTTAAAGAGATCCACCTGCCTATGCCTCCCTAGTGCTGGCACTAAAGATGTGTACCACCACTCCCAGGTAGGAACCAATAATGTTAAACACTGGGTTGTTCCTTCAAAAGAAGGGGTATATAACCAGTTATCCACTCAGAAGGCTGGGACAGATGTGACTAATAGCCTGGTGACCTTTTCTGCTGTGTGGCCACGACCACATCAGATCTTCCTCCAGACCCTTATCATGAGCATGTCATCTACAGGATTGATCATTATTGAAGGTGTCACATGTAGTCAATCTATAGAACTCATCTTTATGGAAGATGTCACATTTACTTTACAAAGAGTTTTGATGAAGCCACACTTTAAAACTTTATTGTCCACAAAGGGTTAAGTTAAATATCACCAAGAAAGTTTTCACTAAATTGTGCTGTGCCTAAGATATGTCAGAGTTGGTGGTGCAGCTGCCCAAATCATTTCTGCTCCTCGCCCATACTCCAGCAAGTAACCCTAAGTAACCACCAAGCTGCACTTCGGTGGTGCCCATGCTTTGTTCTGTGGTGGGTTCCCTATCTGGGGTGAGTAGCTGATGTTATGTAGTGTCTCACTGGAAAGTTTTGTCCCACAACACACCTCTGCCCTGCATTTGCGTCTCTTATGCTTTCACAGGAGGTTTGGATATGAAATGCCTGCCACACACACGCACAGATCACGTGAAGAGCTTGTCCTTAGCTAGTGTCACTGAGAGGTGATTTAATCACAAAGACACAGACCTCACAAATGGGTTAATCCACTGATGAGGTCATAGCTGGACAAGCAATCAGGAGTTGGCAATCTACTTGAGGAATAAGATCTCTGGATATATTCCCTCTTCTCTTTGTTGGGGGCAAGGGGACTTGCTTTTATCAAGTTCTCACACCATAAAGTTCTGCCTACACAGTCCTACAGGTACAGGGCCACGTGGCTGTAGCCTGGAACCTCAGAGATCATAAACCAAAATAAAACCTCATTGTGGATTTTCTAGGTAATCTGTCAGGGACAAAAAGCTATCATAAGCTTTTTGGTTTTTCTTTTCTTTCTTTCTTTCTTTCTTTTTTTTTTTTTTTTTTTTGAGTACTGGGATTAAAGGCGAGTGCCACCACTTCCTGTTCTATATAGTTGTTTGCTCTTTCTTAAAGGTGCTTTGTTTCGTTTTGAAGATCTTATTATATAGCTCTGACTGGTGGCTTGGAATCAGTCTGACCCTCTACTCAGAGATCCACCTGCCTTTGTCCCCAGAGTACCTGTCCCAACACACTTAGCAAAAATGTGCTGTGAAAATACCTTGCTTTGGTGACATCACTTACAAATATTAAGATGTATCCAAATTCTTAGTGTTCTAAAGTGCCAAGGTTAAGGCACTTTTCCTCAAGAAAGTAAGCCTTAATAAAATAACAATCCCAAACCTTTGTACTGAGGCAAGGAGATTTTTTTTTTTCTCTCTAGAGGATATCACAGAGGGATTGAGCTGGAATAAAAAGATCATTGGGAGGCCAGAGAAGCAGAAGGATCAATTGTTTCACGGTCGACCTCAGCAGTTTGGGACTCTTAGTGTGGACGTAAAAGCCACAGCTCTCATCTTAAGGGGGATAAAAGATGGTTTATTCTGGAGCCATTTTTATTGACCATAGTCCCGGAACACAGATTTAGGTTATCCCAAATTCCGTGTAAAGATGAGAGCTGTGTTTTTTTCGTTGACACAGGGTTACTTTCCCTCCATTCTGCCAAACTACAGAAACCATTTAAGATTAGACTCTCCAGTGCAATGAAATCGCCCGTGTATTGTCCTCACCCTAAAATCTATTTTTGGAACTAGGGATTTTCCAGATTAGTGTAAACCCGGCGAAGTGAGGTCAGGGCCAGGCATGCATTTCTAAGGCTACGCTCCGACACCCACGCGCGCTAGGAGCTTTCCGGAAACCCTAGCGCTGAAACTGTGAAGCTGCCCTGTTTAGAGTCACTTTGTTACACACCGGTGACGCCGACGGCCGGACGCTCCCCAACACGCAGACCGCGCAGGGGTATTCGGGGCCGACTCACCAGGCCAGATTACGGATCATCCTGTGCCTAAAGGTACTACCAACCCTGAGCCGCCAGCACCCGGCCCTGCCCATCCCATCCCCTCCGCCCGGTGCGACCGAAGCGCGGAGGCGCGACCGAAACGCGGAGGAACTCGTTGGCGCGCGCCAGGGGTGGGGTAGGGAGTGGCGGCGTGGTGACGTCAGGGCGGAAGCGCACGCTGCGTGCAGCGGCCTGGAAGCCGGCGGTCACGGGAATATCCGTCGCGCCGAGGACGCTGGTTAGTCTCGCTTTGGGTTCCGGCTGCGTCGGGCGTGCGTGTAGCTCGCTGGAACTATGGCGTCCGGGCCTCACCCGACCTCGACCGCTGCCGCCGCCTCCGCCTCATCCGCTGCCCCGAGCGCCGGCGGCTCCAGCTCCGGCACGACGACCACTACGACTACGACCGGAGGGATCCTGATTGGCGACCGCCTGTACTCGGAGGTGTCGCTTACCATCGACCACTCGCTGATTCCGGAGGAGCGGCTCTCGCCTACCCCGTCCATGCAGGACGGCCTCGACCTGCCCAGCGAGACGGACCTGCGCATCTTGGGCTGCGAGCTCATCCAGGCCGCCGGCATTCTCCTCCGGCTGCCGCAGGTGAGAATCCCGGTTGGCTGCCGGCTTCGCCGCCGCGGCCAGGTTTCTCCGGAGCCTGCGCCGGGCGTCGGCGGGAGCTCGGGCGGGCAAGGGTGGGGGTGCGGGGGCCGGCGGCGCCGCGAGGCCGGGGCGGGGGAAGGGAAGCGAGCGGCCGCACAAAATGGCGGCTGCGCCTAGTGCGGGCCCGCCTGACCCCGGCGCTTCCGTTCTCCTCTCTTGTCTGCAGGTGGCGATGGCTACGGGGCAGGTGTTGTTTCATCGTTTTTTCTACTCCAAGTCTTTCGTCAAACACAGTTTCGAGGTAAGCGCGGCGGAGGCGGACGTGAAGGGATTTCTTCATCTGGAAGCGGGAAGGAAGGGGTAGTAACCAGCTTTTCCAGAAAGGGAGTGGCTTAGGCCTTTGTACCTAGTTCCCACCCATAAGGAAATGGGGCCCTTAGAACACGTTTCAAGAACTAGAAAATGGATCCTCAGTTCACGTGCTCTGTTACCAAGAGCTACATTTTCAGACCATTGCATAACTCTTGTAAGAGTTAGCTTGATTCTGGCCCAAAAATTACGAGGAGTTGAGCAATAAAACATAAGAGCTGGCAAGCCCCTGGTCTAAAAATGTCCGCTCTGATTTTATTCCGCCAAAAGCCCCGTTGTATCCTAGAGTTTTTTTTATTTGGGGGGGGGTAAAGAATAAATTAGTTAGGCTGTGACCCACACTTTTACACAGGCAGGTCTCTGAGTCCAAGGCCAGCATGATCTACAGATCGAGTTCCTGGACAGCCAGGACTACACAGAGAAGCTTATCTCGTAACAGAACAAAAAGGATTAAGTTTGTTAGACTTTGGGCAGGGCTGTTTCTAGTTTAACTTTATACTTCACTTTTGTCTTCTGGGTTCTTTCAGATTGTTGCCATGGCCTGTATTAATCTTGCATCAAAAATCGAAGAAGCGCCAAGAAGAATAAGAGATGTGATTAATGTATTTCACCACCTCCGCCAGTTAAGAGGAAAAAGGTAAGATTGGCCTATTGAACGTAGTATCTCTTGCTACTACTGTACTGTGCACCAATCATCAAGTGAAAACATTTCCCCCCCACCCCCAAGTCAGTATGGATGCAAAAGAAAGCTGACATTAGGTGTTGAAATTCACATAGGAACATTTACACCTTAAAAACTGCTCCATTAACCAGCTATCTGAAGTTTGTAGAGGCAGTAGCATTTGTGGACAATCCTAGCAGTGCTGTGAAGCCGGTCCCTTGGCTTAAGATTAAACAAGAAAGGGAGTACGGTTGGCTCAAGTGGGAGTGTATTCTGTAAGTTGTTTTTCCCCTCCCCTCTCTGGAAAACTGAAGGCTGGACACGTAAGCCTTGTAGTTCAAGTTAATATTGTGGCAAAGTTCCGTGTAGGTTGTTTTTCTGCTTGGAGTCCCAGTTTCATCAATTGAGGTTGGCTTTTGTTAGAGTACTTCTCAACATTGAACTACGATATATCGAATAATGCCGGATCTGAAAGGACTGGAGGATGATAAAGTTTGAAGTCAAAGGGATTGAACAGGTATTTTTTTGGTCAGATATAGTCTCAGTGAGTGCATTAGAAAAATAACTCATTCATTGAGTTGCCTTCAGATAGAGCTTATTTGATCTTGTAAGAAAATACAGCATCTGAAACAGTATCTTTTAGGTGTAGTGATAACCTGGTAACTATGTGGGCCTGTGTGTTCATCTACCAAAGTACCAAAGTTTGTTGCAGGACTCCCTTCTCTACAGGTGATTCTAGGACATGCTGCTGGATATTCATGGTGTAGATTAATTTCAGAGGAATTTTGAGTTTGAAAGGAAGTTAGCTATGACAAGATAAGTTGTTTTGGGAGTTGGGTGTTGCTTAGTCCTAGTGAGTATCATACATAGGTAGTCTTCATTGTGGAAGCTAGAAGCTGGTGGTAGTGGAAGTAGCCAGTTAAGCAAGTATTAGGTGAGTTTGAAATGTGCATCACAGTCAACTTTTGTAGCATTTTTTCTATATATTATTCAGCCCCATCTTTTTTAAGTGTGTGCCCAGATAATATTTCTTCTGTTTGAAAACATTTTTAGTTCTTTGTGAAGAAAGTTGAAAAATGGGGAAATTTCAAACTGGTGTTTAGTATGTTCTGAGCTTTTATACTTGTATTTTAGATTACATGGCTGATTTTTTTTTTCAGGGTGTTTTTTACAAAACACTGCAATACAGAATTCTTATTTTTAGGGAAAGGACTCTGCTTTAAAGGAACATTTCCTAATAGTGTATGAGTTGTTGAGCCAACTATAATTACGTGACCTTTCGGTCTTCTCTTGTGGGACTTAACTTTCCTTCCTAGGTGTCAGAATAGGATCATCTTACCTATAAAACTTCAAAATCTAAAATAATCCAACCTGTCTGACTTGTGTTGGATGTAACTTCATTTTTGGTCATCATTAAAGAGAAATTGATTTTATTTCAATGTTTCAAGTTTGATTATAGCATGAAATTCTTAAAGAAGTTAATTGCATGGAAGCCCCCCCCTTTTAAAAGCAGGATATAAGTGTTTCTATGCATATTACAAGTTTACTCAGACATGTAACTTGTATATGTTATTAACTTCAACTCTTTTTTCCCTTGCAACCGACTATACAGCGACCAGCTACATTTACCAAAGCCTGGGTGATGTGGAGTGGTACATAGAGATGAAGCTGTCGTCATGGCAACAGTGAGTGAAGTATCGAAATCCCCAAGGAGAAGCCAGTGTTCTGTGAATAGGTCACTGGAATCGGGGACTAACAGGTTGGCCACTGGTGAACCATTTAGAGAAAAAAAACAAACAAAACAAAAAACTCCTGTTTCTTGTTATAAGCTTTTGTCTTTGCTGTCCAAGTTATTGAAACTATAGTTTTAAAGGGTGGTGGGGTTTTTTGGGATTTGGTTTTCTTCCTCTCTTTCTTTCTTTCTTTCTTTCTTTCTTTCTTTCTCTTTCTTTCTTTCTTTCTTTTTTACATAGGGTATGGTTAGAAAGTATTCATAAATGTTGTACTACAATTAGTTTGTCTTGAATTTAATTTAGTCCAATTTGTGCAAATTAACTAGGTTATTCTATGGCCTTGACAATTACAAGGGGTACAGTAATGTAGCCTTAAAGTCATTGTTTTTAGTCATGGCTACATATAGCTAGTAAAATCAACTGTTCGAAGGAAAAAAAAAACAGTAAGTACCACATCAGTCCTCAGTTTGAGATAATTGACTTATCCCCCCATTAGTTTTTTATATTTTGGTAATTAAATTCAAAGGAAAGTTAGAGCTATTTGTATCTGCAGTTTACAGATAAAACTTGCTGTTTCTATGTTATTCCCAATATATTAAGAGTCTTTTTTTTTAAAGAAGTCTGTGTTCATGTCTTTTAAGGTGTCTGTTAAAAGAAGATAAACTTGTAAAAAAATTTAACTACTTTTATCGGTGACTGTATGCTATTTGCAATGCATAAAACCTTCAGTTTGTTGACATTGAAAGAATGTTCTACTTTTAAATATGCATTAGAAATTGCCATGTTGAGTAGCAATCTTGCTCTGTGTATTAGCCATCTGGTTTATAGTGTACTTCCTTTTTTTTCTAAGATTTCATGTATGTGAGTACATTGTCACTAACTTCAGACACACCAGAAGAGGGCTCCAGATCCCTTTACAAATGGTTGTGAGCCACCATGTGGTTGCTGGGACTTGAACTCAGGACATCTGGAAGAGCAGTCAGTGCTCTTAACCACTGAGCCATCTCTCCAGCCCCCTAATATACTTCCTTGAACTACTTTCACAGAGTATTGGGCCTTGTAACTCATGAGTGAGACCAACCATGCTTGAACACCCCCAGGTCTAAGTGTTTGTAATTAATGTGTGTTTCAGGCGCATACTACAGAAAGTAACTATCATATAAATTCCTAATAACTGGAGACCAACATTTCCTAAAGACTGAAATTTGTTTTCAAATAAGTTAATGAGCAAAAAGTCAGGTAATAAAGAACCTTTCAAAGATGGAGTTTGGTAGTCTTAAGTGTTACTACTATTCCTGAGTTCTCTGAATACATGAGGATTTTCTCCCTTAGTGTGTAGTGCCACCTCCATTGTGTTGATAATGATGCCTACATGATTGGGAAGAAATTCTAGTAAGCCTTGATTGAACTTAACTGTGTCACTAAAGATATTCCTAATTGATAACTTTGTTGATACAAAAAGCTTTTGCTTAAATGCTTTTTCAGTATCTTTGATTTATGGAGATATTTTTCTGAGTTTCATCACGGTATAAAATGTTAAGGTAGTTGTTAATTTTGTATTCATTCGGCCTGCCTTGATTTATGAGATAAAATAAATTCTGAACGAAATGAAGACATTTACAGAGCTATTAGTGGCAAGACTGACCAAGAGCTTAGATGGTTGAGTCGTAGTAAGATCGTTAATGGGATTGTTTCCTTGGCCTGTTTTAAAGTTGAGAGATTTGGAATTTAAGATTGAAGTCAAGTCAGCTACCTACTGTGTAGTAAGTAGCTCAAGGTATCCAGTAATTTATGATCCTTGTGCTAAACCACTTCACTCCTGGGATTAAACAAAGCCTGGATGGTTCTTAGGAATTCTGATGAGGTGGGGAATTGTGTATATGGCAGAGTAGTAAATCTAAGACACTTTAAGCAGAGTTAGTGATGAATCCTTAAATTTGGCACCAGTTGGTAGCCATAGTTGAAACAAGTGTTGTTTGCAAATGTTATTACAACTTAAAAATAATTTCATAAAGCAGTTTTCTTAGTAAGATATGGTATAAATTTTAATGTATGAAGAAAAGTGAGACAGAACTCTGCTTTCGTGAACTGTTGGTATATCGATTTTTAATGGTGCTGTTTACTGTCTGGCTTTAAGGAGTTAAGAGCCAAGCTGTGTACAAATAAAACACTGGAGCCTTTTTGACTCCCAATACCAGTTGAAGGAGGACCTTCTAATTAGTCTGTATTGGGATTGTCTCCAAAATTTCTTAGAACGCATATAAAACCTGAAAAATCATGAACCCTTACTTGCCGTCATTGGAGTTTTCTTCCATACATGGGTTGGTCCCCTTCAAGTTAAATTTGACTTTTGCTCCTAAAGTTCAGTTTGAAGCTATCTTGATAACATTGATTCCATACAGGCCATTTTGTACACTTTGAAAAAATTGAACTTAATGAAACTTTCCATCATTTGTTATTTATGATGTTACTTACTTCTGCCAGCTATTAATAGTTTAGTACAAAGTTACAGAATAACTAAAGGAGTTTTGTTTTTAACATAGCTGGGTTTTTTCTGATAGCCTGTTAACAGGGAGGCAGTTAATGTGCTTCATTTCAGATTTGTTTTCAGTCTTAAGTTAACTCAGGTTTGCCTCAACTCACCTGATGGAGTGGAGGATGCTTTGAACTCTTTATCTCCAAGTCCCTCTACCCCAACCCCTGCAAAGTGCTGGGATTATGAGGTGAGCCACTACTCCTGGCTCAGTATTACAGGTTAGATTGTTTTATTACCTTTAAGTGGAGATACAATAGATTGGGTTTTTGTTGTTGTTGTTGTTTTGAAAAGGTTGTATTTGGTAGTATATTCTCCCAAGAATGTAAGACTTGGCAACTTGGATGAAAATGAATCCAGTATTTGAGGAAGTATTACAGTGTTGTTATTACTCTGACCATCTTGCTGGTTAGACGTAAGAGGTCAAAAACGTGGTAAATTGGATAGGTTACATTAATATCACTAAACTGGCAGATTGTAGGAAAAGCCAGATCCTGGTTGCACTTGCCTCTGACATGACTCATGACTGGCTTCAGGATGAGCTCCATAGCAAAACTTCATTTATTTATTTGTTTTTTAAAGGACACTTATACACAGGATGATTTCTATATTTTGTTTGTTTTTTGTTTTTTTATATATGAGTGGTTAGTTATCCCTTCCTTCCCCCACAACTCTAGGGGTATCCCTCACAGGTTTCAAATGTGGTCTTTGAGTCTTAATTTCTTCTCTGTGGCCTTAAAGTCAGTCTCATAGGAACTACATTAACCAAGTTAACTAATTCACTCTTTAACTTAACCTCATTTTAGAGGTTTGTTGGCAACTGAGCTGACTTGTTTTTGCTGGGGATGAGGCGGTGCTAATTAAGCAATTAAATAGTCTTAAAATATTTGTTTATAGCATGTTAATTCCAGAAGGAAAGTCAGAGTTATCTACCTTTTGTTTTCATTTTCTTAGCTTTTATTTTGAGCAAACATTTAAATTTAGCAAAGGGCTTATTCGATTTTTTTAAAAAAAAAAAAAACTTTGTTCATGTTAGAACTTGATAGTAAATCTTTTCAAAAGTACGTTAGTTCTTGTCATTGGAAGGCTGATTAAGGTTTGTGTGAATAATGTGCATCATTGAAGTTGTGTGTAAGTTTAAGAGGAAAAAGTCACAGATCTAAGCATGTGAGTGAGTTTAAGCTGTGTTGGTTTTTTTTTTTAAGTTGTATTAGGTTTTAGGAGCTTTGTCTAGTTAAATATAGTTAGCATAACTTGGACAGCATAAGATTAATGCTTTAACTTGTTAGCAGGAGTTTAAAAAGCTGGTTTCTGTTGCCAATAGTTGGTTGGAAGGGAAAATGGAGATGCCACAAATAAAATTTTTTGGATGTGCAAAACAGTTTTGATTTTATTTCTTACAAACTATAGGACTCCAAGCCCCCTGATCCTTGATCAGAACTACATTAACACCAAAAATCAAGTTATCAAGGCAGAGAGGAGGGTGCTAAAGGAGTTGGGATTTTGTGTTCATGTCAAGCATCCACATAAGGTGAGTTGTAAAGTACAGACATTACAATTCGTAAGTATTAGGGCTTTTTCTGAAATCTTGAATTCAGTGTGGAGAGTTAACCTGAGTTTTCAAAAGCTTTCTTTTGGATGTTATTTGTCAGTAAAATGGGACTCAGAACAGGCTTTATTCTTGTGTGAAAATGAATACTCTTTGTGGTTAAATTCTAGTTTTTCCTCCTGACAAGCTCATGTGGGATTGATTCTTCATGGAAGGAATGAATTGTACATATCTGTGGAACCTGGCACATTTAAATTATCGAAAGTATTAGCTGTTTACTGTAAATCATTAATAAAAACTTTCCCTCTTGGCTTTCATATCACTCTTCTAAGCAGAAGTTGTAAGAATTGGGACTGAGCTAGCTCGCTCTGCTGTTAGCCAGATGGCATTAATGGGCTGATATCTTCACCTTCTAAAATACATGATAATGTAGGTCCAGAATCAGCTGTCATAAACTTAGTAATTATGTTCACTTGAGTCTTGGTGGGGACCATTTCTGCAAGGCAAGCACTGTATTACTGAGATGTAGCTTTTAAGAAATCTCAGTATTCTACACTTTACTACAGAAATTACTTAGTATTCTAGGATATACCGTGGCCATTGTGTACTCAACATAAAGTTTGCCTTTTTTGATGAATAGCCTGAGAAATTAGAAAACGGTTATTAACCACTTTTAGAAGCATATTTTTAAAATTGAGTAATGTAATAGCCAACACTGAGTCTCAAGTATGTTTTAAGTTGATGTATATTTATAATTTTTTAAGAATTGTAACTAACATTTTTCAGTTGCTTTATTCATTGAACTTTGTCTTGAAAGAACCACTAATATGCTAAATAATTTTTTTTCTTCCTTGTCCTCAGATCATTGTAATGTACTTACAAGTCTTAGAATGTGAACGTAACCAAACCCTGGTTCAAACTGCCTGGTAAGTTCCTTTTTTACATTTCTTCTTTAGTCAGGAAAACAGAAGCAGAAATAAAGTAAGTTTCATTTTTCTCTTTCCAAAATAATGAACATAAGTTTGTTTTGGGGCGTTTTGTGGTTTTTTTGTTTGTTTTTGTTTTTTAACCAAAAGGTAAATAATGCTTATTTCTGCTTCCTGTTTTCTTGGCTTGACTAATTACTTTTAATGGAGAACTCAATTTAACTTTGTTCTTTTTTCTACTCTTTAATTAAAGGGTAGTCCATGATGGTAAGTCATAGAACTCTGCCCTCTGCACTTCAGCCCATGACCTCAGGATGGCCTGATTGGCTAGCCTGCTCTCCAGCCAATCCAGTGCAAGCTCTCATCCGAGATTCACTGAAGTGGTCCATATCCATCTGGCAGCATCTTCTAGTTCTGTCGGGGTGTCAAAAGGATTTGTATATTGCTTCTAGAAGTAACTATGCATCATGCCTATGTATTAATTTAATGTATACCTGTAACTATCAAAATGAATATTTCATTTTTGATAGATTGTTGTCCAGCCATTATGAACTGGTTTTTTTTTTTTTTTTAAATTGGGTTCAATTAAATTTCTACTTGCAGTGTGTATAGCATCCTACCACAGGAGGCTGAGGCTACCTTACACTTGTAGCTTTAAATGGGTACCCGTTGCCAGTTTTTAGGTTTCTCCAGCTATTGAGCTGCTACAGGCAGTGATAAAAGAAGCAATTAATTTTAAAAAGAGAAGTTAATGTTATTTAAATATTTTTGACCTTGGACCTTTGAGAAAGGCTAAGCAAGGACATTGTGGTTTAGTCATAAATGATTCATGTAACTGCTGGTAAACACGCATTGAATAATTCTGGATTTTTCAGAAATGTCTTTTTATGACTGCCATGCTTCTCTTGGATTCAGTAGATACTGAATTGTAACAGTTGAAAAGCCACATTGCTTTATAAAATGCATGAGTTTTTAATGTGTTCTGTGCGGCAAATACGGTAATGAATAAAATGATTTTATAGAAATAATCCATTTAATTTCCAGCTCAGGCTTTTCAGCAAATTGTAAAGTTTTCTAGTTAAGAAATTTCATGGGGAAGTTTCACTGCAGATTTCTAAGTTGATTTACTTGAACTTAGGTCATTGCTTTTATTTATACTTAATTGCAAAAAAGTATATTAAGGCCATTGTGACGTACTTATTGTTCACTTCTCTACCTAGTTTTTTGGAAGTATCTTTTTTTTAAATTATAAGTCATTTGGTAGGTTCTTACTAAAAATGCCTTTTTACCCCTGTTCATAGTATCTCTAAAGAACTTGATTGACACTGCTTTTCGTTATGGATAAAGGAGAGATGGTCAGTAACTAAGGCTTGAAGTATTGTTGGGAGTGGTGAATTCTGAACTTACGTCAGAAATGACTTCTAAAACATTGCTTTTTATAACATGTTAAAATAGAAGGCTTTGGGGGTAAGATCTATGTGAGTAATGTAAAATTACTTAAAGTGCTGTGAGGGAACAGTTAGAAGCTGTTACATGCTACAATTTAAAGATACGAATATAATGAGAAGAAAAAAGAATGAAGTAGATTGAGTCTCCAATTTTATGTGTACTTCAGAAGAATTGGTTTGCTTATGAACTAAGCTTACAGCTGAAATGTTTTTCAGGAATTATATGAATGACAGTCTTCGAACCAATGTTTTCGTTCGCTTTCAACCAGAGACTATAGCGTGTGCTTGTATCTACCTTGCAGCTAGAGCACTTCAAGTAAGTATTTAGCCTGCTGTGTGTCGCAGAGTAAATTCCAAGAGTTTTTGTTACTTCTGAGAAAGCATATGTTTGAACCATTCTTCTTTTGTTTAGATTCCATTGCCAACTCGGCCCCATTGGTTTATTCTGTTTGGTACCACAGAAGAGGATATTCAGGAAATCTGCATAGAGACACTTAGACTTTATACTAGGAAAAAGGTAATTTCAGTTATTCTGGTTGGTGCTGATGTCATTTTCAAGAGTCTGTTATAAAAGGGAATACTAACTAACTCATTTCCATCCAACAGCCTAACTATGAATTGCTGGAAAAAGAAGTAGAAAAAAGAAAAGTAGCCTTACAGGAAGCCAAGTTAAAAGCAAAGGGATTGAATCTTGATGGAACTCCAGCCCTTTCAACTCTTGGTGGATTTTCTCCAGCCTCTAAACCATGTAAGATACATTCAGAATTAAATAAAATGTGGGCACTGGAAGTATATCCTTCTCAGAAAGTTGGTCAGTTGCCTATCTAGAAGTCATTAATAAATTGTTACTGCTGTGTGTGTTGAGGTTTTTTTGATTTGTTTTTGTTGGTTGGTTTGGTTTTGTGACCAGTCAGCTTAAGGATAAGTATATAGTGCATTTGGGTTGTGTAGGAAACTTGTCCTCAGCTAAATCATGTTTTTTAATATGTCCTTACCATTAAAAGCATCACCAAGAGAAGTAAAAGCTGAAGAGAAATCACCAGTCTCCATTAATGTGAAGACAGTCAAAAAAGAACCTGAGGATAGACAGCAGGCTTCAAAAAGCCCTTATAATGGGTATGTATACCTCAAGGAAGGGCTTTAGCACTGGGTGTTACACCTTTGTAACAGTTGTTTCACCTCTGGAAACAATATAACAAATATTGCCTGCAAATTTTTTTTAAGGGTAAGAAAAGACAGCAAGAGAAGCAGAAACAGCAGAAGTGCTAGTAGATCAAGATCAAGAACCAGGTCACGCTCTAGATCACACACCCCAAGAAGACAGTAAGTAATGGGTCCTGGGTGGTACAGGCTTAGGACCCTTAAAAATTAGCATGAGATTTCTCCCCCCCCCCAGTGTTAGGAATAAGTATCTCAAGTTTTTGTTTGTTGTGTTTTGTTTTGAGCAGGTTTTAGTATATAGCACCTAATTTGCTAGGATTACAAGCATGCTTGACATGAGCTCATAGAGGGAAAAAACTTAAGGACATACTTCAGATGTGTGTAGTGCTTTAGTTGTGTGTGGTTTTTATTTTTCAACATGCATAGGTGTAGTTGTGTACGGAAGTTAGGAAGATTTGTAAAAGGCAGTTTGCTCCTTCACTATGTGGGTCCCAGGGATTTAGGGCTAGACAGTAGGTACTTTTACCCGATGAGCCATTTCACTGACTCTAGTTATGTGCCTTACTAGCATTTTGTTCACTCTTGTCATGTGTTCTGTCCCCCCTTTCCAATTTCATGAAATGTCCAGAAAATGTGGTTTGTGTGTGAGGGGGGTGTTATTATAAGTTCCTTACCTCCAGTTTGTTAGAAGCGTGAATAATATTCCTCCACTAATGCTGTATTACACAGCCTAAGACTCTTCAGTCAGCTTTGTTAACAGAGTGTAGATTTCTTGTGATGCTTCAGGCACTTTGAGCATATGAGAGATACTCAGTGAAAAACCATGTAGTTTCAGGATACATTGGTGATACACTTTACTGGAATAGGATGTTTTATCTATCTAACAAAGCTTCATTCGAGAAATCAGGATGGGGAGATTGAGGAACATGGTCAGTTCAGACTTATCATTACTCCTAGCTGATTGAACTTGTTAATGAATAACAGTTATTGATGTGTAGTCAGTAGACACTGAACCTAAACTTGAAATTTTTATTGTTTTAAGTTATAATAATAGGCGAAGTCGATCTGGAACATACAGCTCAAGATCAAGAAGCAGGTCCCGCAGTCACAGTGAAAGCCCTCGAAGACATCATAATCATGGTTCTCCTCACCTTAAGGCCAAACATGCCAGAGAAGACTTAAAAAGCTCAAATAGACACGGTCATAAAAGGAAAAAATCTCGGTCTCGATCTCAGAGCAAGACTCGGGATCACTCAGATGTTACCAAGAAACACAGGCATGAAAGGGGACATCACAGAGACAGGCGTGAAAGATCTCGCTCCTTTGAGAGGTCTCATAAAGGCAAGCACCATGGTGGCAGTCGCTCAGGACATGGCAGGCATAGGCGCTGACTTTCATCCTCTGACACTGCATCGGTTCCTGGTGGTGTCCACATGTAGTGTGACGATGTATGGACTCAATCAAAACAAAAAACAAACTGATTAGGAATTGATTTATTAAAATTGTCTAGGTTTCTAGAAACACTGAGGACATTTTCTTTGGAAAAGAACTATGTTAAGGTTTTTTGCACATTAAAATGCCCTAGCAGTATCTAATTGAAAACCATGGTCAGGTTCAATTGTACTTTATTATAGTTGTGTATTGTTTATTGCTATAAGAACTGGAGCGTAAATTCTGTAAAAATGTATCTTATTTTTATACAGATAAAACTTGCAGACACTGTTCTATTTAAGTGGTTATTTGTTTAAATGATGGTGAATACTTTCTTAACACTGGTTTGTCTGCATGTGTAAAGATTTTTACAAGGAAATAAAATGCAAATCTTGTTTTTCTAAACTGCTTCAAATATCTTATTTAAATTGGCAAGAAGCAACATATGGCAGATAACTGATTTTTTGCGGAGGTGTAGTTTGGGATAATTAAAAATGACCTACATTATATGGTCTTTGTATATGTAGAAAAAGCAAATAGGAATGGCATGATACTGGTAACCACTAAAATGCAAAACCTGATTTGAACTTAATGTATCAGAAGATAATTTTGGATTAAACTTAATTATTTATAATGTGAATTTACCAATTGAACAAACCAAAGCTACAGCATAATGCTAAGATGCAACTATGGGAGTTTTGAATGTTTTAGCATGACTGACATTGTTGGTACAGCTTAATCTTGGAATGTCAATTCAATAATAAGGTCATAAAGGAGGTTATTGAGTGTATTGTATATATAAAAGGTATGATCAGATCATCTTGTATAGTCAGTTCTGTGGGTTCCAGTCGTTAGGCACATGTCACCACCAGCTGGCAAGCACATTTACTCTGAACCACCTCACCAGCTTCTACATAATTTTTAGAAACTTGTATGTATTTTTTGAGATTATCTCACTGTAGCTCTTGCTGGCCTAGAACTCAAAAGAGATTTGCCCACAAATAAAAACCCAAAGATCAGCTGTCCACCGGGCAGTGGTGGCGCATGCCTTTAATCCCAGCACTTGGACGTCGAACAGCAGGTGTCCCAAGGATAGCAACTAAGCACAGCATAACCATGCAACAAACCTCTTATCAAGGCTGGATTAGCCAACCCGGTAAGAGGAAAACGGTCCCAAGAGCAAGCAGAAGAGTAAGAATCCCCACTCCCAGTTAGTCTTATAAAAACCCTATGCTAAGCAACAGCATAGTATGCAGAAGATCGTGAAGGCTATAATTGCTATAATCTCTGAGCTATGAGCCTTGCTTTGTTGATTGTGTGGTTGACCATACCTGGCTTCTACTATCCTCCACCTACTTGGGGTTTTCCCAAGTTCCACCTAGTGTATGCCTGTGGGTTTCTGCGTCTGCTTCCATCAGAGGAAGCCTCTGATGACAATTGGGCTAGGTGTCATTTTGTTGGCTTTTAAAACAAAATGTCAGTTATCTTTGGCTCTACCCTAGGTGTCTGGACCATCCAGTTTCCAATACCTGGCCCTTCAGGCAATGTCCAGGGTGAGTGCCCTCCCTTGAAGTGGACTTCAAGTTAGACCAGTTGTTGGTTTGCCATGTCCATAAGCTCAGCCACATTTTGCAGTCAGGACTGGTTGTGAGTCCTGTGGGTTTTATGGCTGGGTTGGCGTTCCAGTCCGACCACTGGATGCCTTGCCTGGTTAGAGAAGATGGCTGATTCAGGCTCTGTCTCCTCTATTACCAGTGACCTGCACTAGGGTCACTCATAGGTTCTATGGTAGTTTTCACTGCACTAGATTTCCATATCACTCCCCCCTCCTGGTACCCCCCAATCTCAGTTATCTTACCTTGTGATCTCTATCCCTCCCTCCCCAACCTGATCTTGTTCCCATCCCCACCTGCAAAATCTCTTCCCCCTTCCTAGGGAGAGCCATGCCTTCCCCATAAAGCCCTTGTTACTTAACCTTTCTGGATCTGAATTGTAGTGTAATTATCCTGAACAGCTAATACCCACTTATAAGTGAGTATGTAATCATGTTTGTCTTTCTGGGTTACCTCAGGATGATTTTTTATTTTAGTTCCATTCATTTGCCAGCAAATTTCAGGATGCCATTTTTTTCAACAGTTGAGCAATACTGCATTCTGTAAATGTACATTTTCTTTATTCATTTTTTTTGGGTGAGGAACAACTAGATTTTTCAGTCGCTAGCTATAATATATAAGCTACAAAGTGTCCTTGAGTGTCTTCTGAATATTTGCCCAAGAGTTGTATAGCTGGCTCTTGAGGTTTATCTATTCCCAATTTTCTGAGGAACTATCATTCTGATTTCCATAGTGACTGTACAAATTTGCTTCTCCATCAGCAATGGAGAAGTGTTCCTTTGCTCCTCCTCCTCACCAGCCTGAGCTGTCACTTGTATTATTGACCTTAGCCATTCTGGTGGGTGTAAGATGGAATCTCAAAGTAGTTTGATTTGCATTTCTCTGATGGCTAAGGATGTTAAACATTTCTTCAAGTACTTAGCCATTTGAGATTCTTTTGAAGATTCTGTTTAGGTCTGTAACTCTTTACAATTGGATAATTTGGTTTGTTGATATCTAGTCTCTCATTCTTTTTATCTTTTGGATATTTGCCCTTTATTGTATGTGGAGTTATTGAAAATCTTTTCCCAACCGGGCGGTGGTGGTGCACACCTTTAATCCCAGCACTTGGGAGGCAGAGACAGGCGGATTTCTGAGTTCAAGGCCAGCCTGGTCTACAGAGTTAGTTCCAGGACAGCCAGGGCTATACAGAGAAACCCTGTCTCAAAAAAACCCAAACCAAACAAAACAAAAGTTTTCCAAACAGCCTCATGGCTCTGGTCTAGTGAGCAGTAACATCTTGTGACCCTGTCAGTGTAATGCTTTAGTAATGTAGCACTTTTTTGCTCTAATCAGACTTGAATATAAACTGTAAAATTGCTTTTAGGCCATTTGTGAAAGGTGTCTATAAAGCTGTCGCTGAATTTGTGAGCTTTTGTGACAGGGAGAGCAGGGTTGAGACCAGAACTCACTGTGTTCCCCTGGCTGGCCTGGAACTATGTACTGGACTAGTCTCTAACTAGCAGAACTCTGCCAATCTTCCTGGCATGCACCACTATGCCCCACTGAAACTTTTTTTTTTAAAGTTATTTATTTTTATCTATATGAATACACTGTAGCTGTCTTCAGACACACCAGAAGAGGGCACTGGATCCCATTACAGATGGTTGTGAGCTACCATGTGGTTGCTGGGAATTGAACTCAGAACTCTGGAAGAGCAGTCAGTGCTCTTAACCCCTGAGCCATCTCTCCAGCCTCCCCCCCCCCCCCCTAATTGGTTACACTTACTTACCAGCTCCTAATTATGTTGTGTTCATGCACATATTTAAAACAACTCAAAAACCCAAAAACTTGTGATCTTGAGTATTTGGACATTTTTGCTTCAATTTTCTTTTCTTTTTTTTCCCTCTCCTTGTGGAGGCTAAGTCTCATGTGTAGCCATCCTGTGTCCATGGATGAACTGGGTTCACCTGAAAGGAGGGCTGGAAATGAAAAGGAGATGGAGAGGTGAGAGAAACATGGAGCCAAGACAAAGTTCTCAGATCAAGGCTCAAGTTTAATATTCAGATCCTGTATATATAGGGAAAGCCCACAGAACCCATCCTTTGTTTCAGCTGGATAATGTCACAGAGCAGGCTCAGCAGGCTCAGCGGCAGTCTCTTCTAAGTTCTTGCAGAAAGTTGCAAGTGTAAGCATAGCAGCTGGCTTCACCTAGGTGTTAGGGTCCTGTGTGGCAAACAAAGTCTGTTCCCGTCTGCTCAGTGCTGGGAAGGGTACACTCTTATATAGTTGAGGCTGACCAGAACTTGCAGTCTCAACCACAGCCTCCAAGTGCTGAGGGGTTAAACATGTTCCTACACACTCCTGGTTATTTCAAAGTAACTTTAGACAATAAAAATATTTTAAAAATACACAGACCTTTATTCAGATTCCCCAGATGTTATCATCCCCTCTCTATGTCCTTTCTGATATTTTGGAACTTTCCCTTTATCTGCAAGTATTTAAATATGTATTCCATCTTAAAAAAACAAAGCTTCTATTCACACCATAATTATCCAAGTGTGGGGTCGGTTGACCTTACTCAACCGAATCGTTTTTCTTGTAATGCCTATTTTCTGGTTTGTGATGTAATTTTGCCTTAAGTTCTTTGGTGATCTTTCTTTTCCTTCCTCCCTCCCTCCCTTCCTTCCTTCCTCCCTCCCCTCCCTCCCTCCCTCCCTCCCTCCCTCCCTCCCTCTCTCTCTCTCTCTCTCTTTCTTTCTTTCTTTCTTTCTTTCTTTCAAGATCTGGTTTTCTTGTGCAGTCATGGCTGTCTTGGAACTGGCTTTGTAGACTTTCTGTACAGCCACCCTGAAATTCTTGATCCTTTCTCCCAAATGTTGGTGTGTGACACCGCTGGGGCTCCTGTTTTTCTTTTGATTTTAGTATCTCATGTATTCCAGGCTGGTGCTTGCTAACCAAGTTTCAACCTCTTAAGTGCTAGGATTCCAGGGACCGACCACCATGCTCTGCCTTTGGTTTTTATGTAGTATTTTTTGTGGGGAAAGGTGGATTTTTGTTTTGGTTTTTGAGACAGGGTTTTTCTGTGTAGCCCTGGCTGTCCTGGAACTTACTTCGTCTCTGCCTCCTAGTGCTGAGATTAAAGGCATGTGCCCCTGCTGCCCAGCTTTGGCCTTTGTTGTTAATTGACAGTAATTGTATGTGCTTATGAAGGACAGTAGTGCATATATATGTATATATATATATATATATATATATATATATATATATATATATCTCTGAACATGTATATTTAATATGTTCACATATATATCTGAACATTCACATATCTATATATCTATTATCTATATCTATATCTATATTGTACAATGGCCAGATCAGGATAACTGAAATGTCTCTCACCTCAGAACCTTGGTATTTTTTAATGGAAACCAGTTGTTTGTAAAGTATCCTTTAACTTGTCTGTGATTAGATACCGGTTTCATGATTTAGGTAGGGATACAGTGGGAATGGGGTCAGGTCGGAGGGTCGTTTTAGTTCCTGTTGATTTACCCCATTAGCTGCTGCTGCTGCTGACTAATGTCAGTTCCTGCGTAAGGTGCTGACAGGATTCCTTATGACAACAAGTATTTTACCATTATGTGTTTTGTAGGGTAAAAATCTTAAGATCATATTGTTTATACATCCTTCTACCTGCTGGATCTGTAGACCAGTATCTCCTGGATATGACAGGCCCCCTGTAGTCAGGAACACGGCAGCTTTTGTTGCTTTCAAAAGATTTGCACAAGGTAAAGCCAGTTAACATCTTCTCGA